GTCAAATTTTGTCTTCTCCATGTTTAGCTTTACTTTCAATGTTTCTTCTTCTATGTTTAAAGTTTTTAATGCTAACATATTTAGGTTACAATACTAGGACAGGTTTCTCCGACAAACCTTTTTTCAAGCCTGAGTTGTTGCTTTCCACATACACTTGCGATTTACTCGGTGATGAGTCTTATAATCGTGCCTTGGGTGTATTGGCGAAAATTGAGTGTCTTCTAAGTGCCCTATGGAGAGCTTCCAGACCCACACTTGCAACAAAGTTGTTTGCGATCAGTAAGTTGACGTTTTGTGAAATATTCAACAAATGATCGTACTTAACTTAAATTTCTGATTTTTAATTGTAGGCAGGTTTAGGCTTCTTAACTCCTTTATCTCAACTCATGCCAAGCTTCCCGTGGAAGAGTGCTTGCTACGTACGTTTTGTGTTTATTTTTATGTACAGAATTGACGTTATTTTTGAAAAGTATTCTGCTAGTCGAAAACCACATATCCCCTTTTATTTTATTCTAAAGATAACCTTGAATCGACAGAAGTGTGCTCTAACAGATTTGTCTTATGTCTCATCTGTAAACCCCACATCACAGTTCCAAATGCGCATAAAATTTGTCAATCTCATTTTCACTACATTAAGTAGAACTAATTTTTACTATTCCATTATTAGACATTTCTTCTTTTTGTAAAGTTAATTTCGTTTTACCCGATTCTAATTGGGAAAATCCCGTCGTTTTAGCTTGGGAAAAAAATGAACTCGCGAGTCTTAACCTCAGATGGATCGGCAACTCCCCACCCCAAGTTGATGCAAACTACATCATTCAGTTTGTCAGAAAATTCCAAGGTAATTTAGTGAACCTGTATTGCATTTTCGAGGTGGATATTTTAAATTTTTTGGTTTTTTGATTCTACCTAAACAGTGACTCAGTTTTCACCGTTACGTTGTTTTGGATCTACTGCTTGCACGTTATCAACATGTCAAGCAATCGATCTCGTTAGCATATACGTACTTAAGCTTTTGTTGCAGCGTTTCTTAACTGAAATACGGGTTGTTTGTTTGTTATCACGCTTTTTGGCCGGATCAGATATAGCGGGTTCATAAAACCAGTTTGATAACATATAGGCCTGTTTACTTTATTCATGATAACCCGAGAACTGATTTCCTATTTGAAATCCTTTTTCTTATTTTCGGCAATTCTTAAAATGTTTTTTAACGCACCTATAACATTTTTAGGTACTTTGTTTCTCGTAGAGAGCAAAATTTTGCTCTACTTGTGTTTCATTGAAGACATACATTCAATAAAACCACTAGGTTAAATTTTGGACTGTTATATTTATGTCATCAAACACAAACCATGATGAGAAGCCAAATTCGATCCTCTATTTTAGTAATTTTAGTGAATGTTAGTGATAATTATGTTAGGATTTAGCAATCAATTTGTTCGGGAATGAGCGGAAGTTACAACAAATTTGCATATTTTCGTTTTAGATTCTAGTTCTCTTTTGTACGCGTATCATAAATGCTTCTTACACCAAGGAGTCAACTTTGAATTAATTGGGAATTTAAGTTGTACCTCAATGCACTTTGTACTTTGTAACTCATACAGTTCAATTTAATCTGTTTTGTAGACCTCTTTATCGACGACGATGTAGTAAAGGACCTTTATGATCCGCTTTCGGAAAAATCCAGTCGTGCACGCAAAACGCTCTTCAGTGGTATAATAGAGAGGCTCAACTCAGAGTGCATACTCGCGCCTACTCAGAAGTATGTTACATTGCTTAGCGTATATATATAGGTTTTGTAGTGCACTATTGTTTAATTAAAACAATTTTTCGTCAGAAAATGGAGAAAAAGAGGTCCTAAATTCCACCCAATTTGTCCAGACCTAAAATCGGCACTTACTTGCCCTCCACTTCAATGGGATGACTTATACAACGAAAGGGGTCTTTTAATTCGAAAGATGTCAACGGTCAAGCCATCCTTTCATGATGTGGGTTAATTTTATTATGTTAACAAGGAATAATTATTTTTAATGCTGATAGAATAAAGCAAATTACTTCTAATCAAATGTACAGTTTTTAAATAACTTTGATCGGTATGAATCTGCTTCCCTGTTCTGCAAAGAAGGCATTTAAACTATGAATGTCGAGGAACAAAATTTGGCAATTTATTGACCATTTAGAAGAACTAATGCTTTGATAACGCTAGATTCCGAGAGCACTGAAACCCAGGGATTTAGAGCTATTACGAGAACAAATAGAATTTGTCAAATTATTCATTTTTTTGTCTTTTGTCTCTGTATAAAAGTGATTTATGATCTTATCTGCTACTGCTCAGCATTTTTTTCCTTCTTTAATTGTGTTTACACTTACGAAGCTGTCATTGACACAACGGAGACTTTCAAGGAAATCTGGAACCAATGTGGAAGATGAATTAAGACTAATATCTGATGTCATAGGGGTCGATCAATCATCAGTTGCTCAAAGGCCACAGCACCGACTTATGCGGGCCAAATTCAGGACTCTCAAACAGTATGTCAGCAAAAATTAATGGCTGAATTCTCGAACTGTTTAGAACAGCTGTGTTTATTAATCTCGTGTTTATAAACTCCAGGTCAGTCAACCATTTGAACGAAAAGTCGCCTAAAGCGTATTTTTAGGGGTTTAAGTTACTAGACTGCATTGTCCAAGCTGCCTAATTTACGGGTTAATTCTACATATTCTGTATTCGTATAAAGCAGGTTCTATGTACACGTTCTCGTTCCGACAAACAAGTTATCTCTTGTTGATGCTTAAAAAGGTCCGTTTATTTCCTCTTTGTACCCGTAATTCTTATCACAGTGACGAATAAGATCAAGCTACTTTCCTGGAGGACATGTTGTTTCTGCAGAAATAGCTACGTGCAATTGATTCTATATTCCTGTGTATTCTGAACTAGGGGTTTTCTATCTATCCATTCTTGTCCAAATCAAGCTATTTGTCCATTTTTTAGCATTAAATGTTCTTGTCCGATGGGGATGGAAAGTCGGCATGGTCAAATCTACGCGGAGTCTGACGATTCGCGTTATGGGGACCTAGTCCAACACTTTCCCAAGCATGAGAAATCAACCCACTCGTTACCTGAATGTAGCCGTACATACGCAACTGATTCCCCTTCGAATCGGCCTAACCGAAGCCACAGCAAGAGGTCCGTAGTTGTAAAGTCATCTAACCCTTGTTTATTCTCGTCTCCAGACCCCAAGAGACGAGAAGTTGGAATTATTCACCACACACCCGTCAGCCCACTCGGCCTACAATGTTCTACCTGTAGCAAACACAATCCATTCTTCTGGAATGTAACAAAAACCCAAAGTGCTGATATGAACCGTTCTCTAAAGAAACTGTCGGAACAAAAAACTCCTATCAAGCTTCCGCCAATTGCCGCTGATCAGCCGAATCTAAAGTCTATTCGTCGAAAAATGCTGGGATGATCGGCTGCACAAAGACTTTCCTTTATTGTATAACCTAGCAAGAGTCCTGTGTATGATCAAAGCTCCTCCAGGTTTTGAGTTCGATCTATGAGTTTATTATGGGTAGGGAGCTTCCGATGGTACTATTAAGTCCAGAGAAATTGTCAAAATTATTCACAGCCATGGCCAAACCTTATACATTGGGTGTTCTATCACCTTAGTGATTTACTACCATTAACGCGTCGATTTGACCCGAATAACTAGCACGTAAACACCATCAACCACGTTTACAACTAACTTCTCACAAATCAAATATGCATTTTGTAAATACAAGCATGCATGCCTCTAGCGTGTTGGTTTTACCTTGGCAATATCTCAAACCAGAAAAAATATTTAACTAGTGTCATAAAGAATTATTTTTACCTGATTCACCATGGCATTGCTCTACTAAATGCATTGCTTATTTGGCTAGAAAAAACTAGATGCAACTCTATCTAAGCAATTACAGTGCCGGTACCGGCCCAGATAAAAATATATAAATGAGATTGACCAACAGGAATTCGATTTAACGCCATAAAACATGAAGCTCGGGTAGTCTACTATTTAGTATCTGTATTATCAGAATTCTGTAAACCAATTCGATATCGGTTTTTTTCGATCAAACTAATACTTTATCCTTCTGTCGACAGCCTGAAGGGGTATCTATGACATAAGTTTCGGTCACTAAAAAGTGTAATCGGGAAACGACAATTTGAAGCGGGATACAATATTTAAAATAATAGTCAATAATTAACGTCGATTAATTCATAATCTCCCAAAGTTTCAGCGATAATTGCATGTTTTCTGTTAAGGACATCACGGTTTCACAAAATGTGATCGACTCCATTAAAAAAAGTGGGTCCTGACGAAGGCTCATTTGGCAAATCATAAACATTGAAGTGAGTCCAAGTGCATACCGGATCTGTTAGACCACTGATTATTTGCGAGTGAATTAGGTAGATCGCCAGTGTGCTGCAAACTTAATACCGGGGAGTAAATATTGAGTCTTTGTAAGGCCACATAACTGGATAAGATAGGGGAGATAACGTCTTAAACTACTGACCGCAATCCTTCAACTCTCCGTGAGCCTGGTCATTACTTTAAGCACGAAAACATGATAACTACTGGGTGAAAATATGTACTGCCACAATCACTGCATCGACACTTCCGGGCTGCACACTGATGATTCGAATAATTATCCTTGATTTTTTCCCAAATAATATCCTAGCCTACGAGGTCCACACCGTCATGCCATAAATCACACTGAACGAGTATGCAAAAGCCCATGTGCACACAGATGAAGTCGAAAGATTAAATATTTAATTAAACACAAATGTTTGCAACCTGAAATCAGCCAACATCCATCAGGAAAGGCATGAAACTTCACACACCAAACAACTATAAACGGAAACACAGAAAAATGTGCTGTAGTCACGTCATGAGGAAAATTTCACTGACTTAAAAAAAAGCACACAATGTAAAAAACGCGATTGTGAAAGCTACAAACTACAAGCGTCAAACATTGGTGGTTTTAACGTTATTTGAATTCTTTTGTCGTTGCAGGGATCCCTGCTGCTCTGTGCGATTTGTAGGTGATTCAGAGTTTGCCGCCTTCTCATTGAATTCGATTGGGTAATCAGGCAGCCTGGGGTAGGCAGAGGGTACTAATATTTTCTGAAATCCCTCATTGTCTCCAGGATATGGTGGGGAATCTCCAAGGGGTGCAGTGGGTAAAGGTCGCTGTTTTGTCGCCGCATAACCCCCAGGTTGCAATCTCATGCTCATGAAGTCATTCTCGATACCCGCCGTAGTTGGGTAAGGTGCATTCTTTGGGGCATCAAGGCCTGCTTTTTCCGGATCACCATACATATTCACTTTCTGATTCGGTCTTGCACCACGAAAGTCTGTTCCATAAAATTGCCTTCTATAGTTTCCAAAAAGGCAGCATACAATCTCCACTGTGATGAGGTCGCCAGCATTCATGGACAGCATGCGTAGTAAAAAATGACCATCCTGTCTGAGGAATTCGTTAATGAAACGATCAATTAGCTCCTTCAATTGACGATCGTCCCTATTGTACACATCGGCCATTTTGAGAAAGCGTCTAACAAAGTGCCTCTGTCTTTTTTTAGAGATTCTATACATCCAAAGCGGGATGCTTAAAATGGTAAAAACCATGACTGAAGCTAGAAAGAAGTAGAGGAAAACATATATCTTCTCGTTCAACATGTTGATAGGGAGGACGCACTGTGCAAAAAGTTTATTTTCAGCGGCCACATGCTGAAGTGAGTGACGGCAGGCTCCGACACGTGGAAACACCTGTGTTTCCGTCCAAGGTTTCCCTTTACGGATATCGTCAAGAATCCTCCATCCAAAAAAGAAGTAACCTTCCTTCTTATCGAAACGGAGGAACGCGTACATAAGGTATAGTTGCATAATCCCAACGAGGACGTATAGAATTTTAATAAATATGTAGTAGTAGATGAGGTTATTGCCATGCCGTTTTCCGGGAAGAATGGTTATTATCTTGGCGACACGACCCTCTCGACGGTCGTGATATTCGCGACGACTGAAAAGCAATAGCTCAAGGCTCTTTGCCATATGACGCACGAGCTTTTCACGCTTTTCACCATCTTCTTTTGTAGCATTGTTGGCTGTTCTGGCGAGATTTTGCAGGTCCGTCCCGGTTCGGTTGTAGGTGAAAATACTCCAAATTATTCGTGGGATGTAGTAAAGGATGGCTTGGAGCCCGAGGACCAATGGAACCCACTGGTAGTAATCTAAAATAGGACATAATTTTACACGATTATATTGCCAACATTTGTCAAGGCACCTAGGGCAGTTTGTTCTACTCACTAACACAAAACTAAGCGATTGTTACGCGTCTTCAAACATTGTGAACAAATGGAGTCAACAGTTGAAACAACCCAGACGCCATGAAATGAAAGTTGCCTGTTTTCAGGTGTACCTATCAACGTTTTTACTTGTTCAGTTGCACGCAAACGGTCGCAAAGCACAAAATAGTTTGTCCATGTTATAATATTTGTGACATTCATAGAAAATCAGAGGTTTCTCGAGTATGTCACTCACCCCAAAACCTAAGTATTTGGCATGATTGAAATAATCCCCTTGACACCTCAGGAACATCGAATCCCTAGATCGCAACAGCCTGATGCTCCCAAAAAAGCATGAAGGCTTATCTGGCGTGATGACTACCACCAGCTTACGGTAAAGCGAGCGTGACTCATTTAGCGAAAACCACAGAAGCGAAAAATGAGCGCGCGGCGATTAGGCCCATGCGAGAAAATGAGACATCAGAGGAACGTGCTACTAAGGCACTGCACCGTTCCTGATACCGTCACAATGTAAGGATTGTACAAAAATTAGGCTTGCGGAACAAAAGCTCACTCATTATTTCCGGATTCATTGAACTCCATGCCTTGAGTTCATGAGACACGACACCAGATGTGAGATTGATAGGGAAGGTGCCTTCCACCCAACACAGGTTTGTAACGTAGGATTCCGCGTTGCCACCACTCACGGTTGTAGGCAGGTAGCAGACCAACGGGGCCATAAAGTATTGCCGGACGGTGACAAGAATCATGCTAATCAAGAGAACTATGACACTCCACTGGAAGTTTGCTCGGTCGGCGAGATCCTCAATACCTACGTATGTGGTTGCCGAAAAAGACTGGATGTATCCCAAGAATTCTGTGGCTACCATTTTGGGTACACTGTTAGCGGAAAAAAAGATTGTTAAATTGCGCAGAAAAGCATTCAGTTCTGAATGACACTTACATCTTGCTCAAACGGACGCCTACCGTGAAACCTAAAACATATGGCACCTAACTTAAGCTATACACAACCAAGCATTTCAGGGCTCATCAATTTAAATAAAGACAACTACGAATCAGAGTCAGCGCCATAACAGGGTATTCACTTGCTTTCAATCTCTACTACTAGTCCACAATTTGTATCAATCATTGACCAGGAGTTAAGCTATCCTGGTGGGGACGACCTATCGTCCAAGTAACCAACTATCGGTCT